TCAAAATTACGAGATATTGTTTGAGACTCGATACCTAGAGCGATGATGACTACTTAACTGGCCAAGATGCGTGCATGAAGGTAACATGACGGAGTGCTAATGTGACCTGAATTCTTGACTGAGTAGCTTCAACTGCGTAAGTTGATTTAAGCAGTGACGGTTAGCATTCAGTGTTGAATGAAGAATGATGTGGACTAATAATTTTAGGGAATTACTTACCGTTACAGTCTTATTACCTGATACTCATAATTCTATAAATCTTCATCCATTAGTGTCACATTAATTCGTATTACACTTGTGAGAAAATATTCTAGTTACATCTCCATCCGATGGTTTTGAGCTGTTCAGGATTCTGTAGTCCATTATCAAGTTGCCTTATATCTGTGGTAGCTGAGAGTTTGTGGCCCCATCTTTTGGAGTCGACTGTAATATTATCGATGCTTTAGTCTTGTAACAGTTGCACTTGCACATTAAATTAAATTCCCGAATTACTTTGTATTTAAATTAGTCGGCCCAAGTACCTAGCTAGCCAAAAATTGGGTGATTTGAACTGATTTGACTATTTCAACTGAATCAAAAGGGGCACACCGCTGAAGAGTTCGGTCTCAAATGAACCAAATGGCCTTGAAGTGTTTTGATCACTTTGATGATCTGACTGTCAAGTACTACTAGTTAATATTTGAGTGGTATCTGGCTACTTATCTCAATCAGTGAGAAGAGTATGGTTTTGTGCGAATGCCGTCAGTCTTAGCTGAGTCAACTATTGTCCATAACCTTCCATTTTCTCCTCATTCAATCTCGCTCACATCACCTTCGGAGTCATGCCTGACTCTTGTTTTCCCACTCTACCGATGGTCTGGCTTGAGTTTGTTGCTACTAATTTGTCTACTTATTGTATGACAAATCCATCTCCATTTCTTTCTGCATATCTATCTGGCGATTTTTGGAGGATTGGTTGGTTGGTTGTGAAAGTTCCCCGCTGCTTCCTTATCCTTTTTGGCCATTTGATCTTCAGGTAGCTGTTGATGAAACTCTGCAGAATGTTGGGAATACTTATCGTGACGTGCCCACGTAGTCTTAGAACCGTATGGAAGTACTTACTTGGCGTTAATGGTTAGTGTTCAGATTTTGCATCTTATGCTGAGTGTAGTAGATTGGCAAAATGATTTCAGAGTAAATAACGTCTATCTTGCTTTACGCATCTCATGCCAGCCTTGACCTACTTATATGTCTCGTCGCCTGTAGTTGAAACGTTAGTGCCTGCCTAGGTAAATAAAAGAAGTGACATCGTTTAGATTTCTTCTGTTGGTGGTGACTGATGCTTGCTTTTGTTGGTCAGTTAGGCATGTTTATCACTTTCGTATTCTCCAATTTCATCTGAATTACTTCCTTCACAGTTTGTTTTGCCAACCTCTTGATTTTCGTCTGTAAGTCTTCGAGTTTGTTTGATATTAAATACAGCTTATCCACGAAGTACAGATCTTGTAGAATCTTCCCATAGGTCAAGTGTATTCCCTTCATATCTCGTCCTACGGTTTACTACATGATTAAGCCTTGTGTTCGTCGGTGGCACAGTGGACAGAACTCTTGCCGACCATGCACATGGTCCGAGGTTCGATCCTCCCACCGACGCACATCTGATATCTATGGACGGCCTGCAAAATTTGGGCTACCGATATCCATGCTGAAAATTCCATACTTGTACCAAAAATACAGTGTGGAATCAAGCTGTAATCAAAAAAAGTAAAATTAAAATAAAGTCACGAAATCTACAGCGGACCTTATACGCCGAATGAAGCCGTTTCTAGGTGAGTCTAAGTGGTTTAATTTAATGCCCAAAACTAATAACCCCAGTAGGATGTATGGTGTTGTTAAAATTCATAAGTTAGGATATCCTATTAGGCCAATAGTTGATTTTAAAAATTCACCTACTTATGAATTATCTAAATATTTAACCATGGTATTAGATCCCCCAATAAAGCCACTCGAAATCTAGATTAACTAATTCTTACGAACTAAAACACAGATAAGATAATTAGATGAAATTAGATAATGAAGAGAAAATGGTCAGTTTTGATATTGCCAGTTTATATGAACGTATATCGATTGATACGTTCACCCCCACCCCAAAAGTATGGTGGAGGTATGACACATTCACTGTACTTAAAACACATGATGTAGACAGATTTTTCGAGCACATCAACTTGAAGGTAGAGGCAATTCGCTTCACTTATGAGTTGGAAAGTCAGGAAGGGGAACTTCCAATGTTAGATTGCAACGTAAAAAGGAAAGAAGATGGATAGTAAAACACTAGTGTTTACAGAAAACCCACACATTCAAACTGATATTTGGACTTCAGATCATCCCATCCTGTGACAGTAATAATAGGATTGGTGAAATGTTTAAGTGACAGAGCACAAAAACTAAGTAGTACCAAGGAAAATCTAAGACAGGAAGTGATACGCATAAAAGAAGCCTTGAAACTTAATAATTACCCGGATAAATTTTTCAGGAAATATGTAAAGAAATGTAAAAGTAAAAAAATAATGATAATAGTGATAGTGACAATAATAATAGTGATAAAAATAATAATATACATGACGAGACCAACAAAAAGGAATCTAAATCATCAGTAGTAATTTTATACAAGGAAGGAACCTCGGAATTCTTAACAAGGCAGGCAGGAATAAAAGTGGCTGGCATTCAAGCCCACAAACTCAATTAGAAAGAAGCTTTGTCGGTTAAAGGATCCTGCCAGTGGAGCCTTTAAAACAAAACAATTTAGTTTATCTAATACCCTGTCTGACTGCAATGATTGTCAGGTCAAATACATAATTCAAACTAGTAGAACAGGGACAGTCAGACTAGCCGAACATAAAAACCTAGCAGCAAAATCTAGATTGGTTGACCCGAATAAGATAAGGAATCTGGAGAATAGTTCAGCTATAGCACTACATGCAATCACACACAGCCATACAATAGGATGGGATAGGATGACAGTTTTAAAATCTAATGTCACAGGGTGAACGGAGGGAGAGATTGATAACATAAGCTTTGTTTATCGAATCAACTGCAAATACATGTAATAGGAATGATTCATCACCTATCCCTCATATCTGGAAAATTCTACTACCCCAACGACGACAAATAGGAGAAGACAAAGAAAACTATAAAACTAAAGTTTCGAAGTCGTGTGATTATAATTGATATGATTATGTTCGAAACGTCATCCAATAAATAATACTGTTTCACTGTGTGATAAATCTAATAAACAAACTTATATGGAATTACTTAGTACCACAGTGCCCAAGTTTTACACATATATTAACAGCCTTGTGTTACTCTTGCCTTCACTTCAAAGGCTTCGCTGGATTGAACGTGTATATAATTGGCTATGATATCCAACTGAATAGATACTTATTTGACTTTTGAGTCTGCTGTATTCTGTGTGTTATCTGATTACTACAGTGGTTGAGTGATCAGCCATATATTGTTGTGTGATTGTTAAAGCTTCAGTTAAAAGGAATCCAAATAGTGAAAGATTTCCTTAAGTTGCTACAATTTTTAAATTAATAATAATAATAATAATAATAGTAATTTGCTCTATTCCAAAATAGTACTTGTGATACAGAATGGAATTCTCAGCATTTCACTACAGTATTGCATCCAGTTGATACATTAACAATAAATGAAATTCTACGTAGATTAAGGGGAATCTCAGTTCGTTTTGACAATAACATATTAGCAGGACGATAGCAAAGCCAAAATTGAACAGAGTGTTTGAAGGGCGTTAGAAAAGTAGATACTGGCATACTTACTGGCGTAAGCGGTAACAAAAAGATCGAGATATACAGAGTGTGAAAGGACGAAGAAGAATGTTTTAATAGAGTTTGTAAGGAAGAGAGGAACAAAGCAGCACATAACAGAAAAAAAGAGAGAGAAAAGGAAAAGAGAGAAAGAAAACGTTGTACCTATAAATGATATGAGTTGGAAAAACGAGATCCAGTTGTTCTACTGACTATTTAATAAGTTATAAGTTTCACGCTTAATGCTTCCTTTATCGCACAGAATACGAGCTAAGTAGGATATGGTTGAGCTTTATACTTGCTAGTGCGAGCATATGGCTTCCTATATAGGCTTCTTGTCTGCCTGCCTGATGAGATACACAAAGAGTGTTGTGAATGAGGGGGATGGTGTGAGTTAGATGAAATGGATTTAGCCCATTTTTCACATGAGTCAAAGTGCCTGTCAACGAGAATATTAACAAGCTGGTTAAGTGGCATGTTGCTTACCCTGTTGACAACCTCTAACACCCGAAGTAATAAGGTAAAGTCTTTCTTCAGTAGCCCTGGAAAAATTAAGGGGGAACAATAGAGTTAACGATGAAAGAGTTAACGAATTGTAGGAGTAAGGGTTGGGCTATACCAGAATGTCTTAACTTCTTGATGTAGAAGGTAAGACGGAATATTTTCTTGGAAATCGTCAAGATATGAGACGACCAGGAAAGATCAGAAGATAGAGTGACGCCTAGGTATTTACCTACCGACTTGGTTTCCATTTCAGTGCCATCTATGTTGCACATCTCGTGAGTCCTAACCAGTTTGTTTAGGTCAGATTTGTGCCTAAAGGTGAAATTGACTGTTTGGTATTTGGAGGGGTTTAAGGTTAGACCGTTTTCCTTGTACCACTGGCTGATTTCTGATAAGAAGCCATTTAGTTTGGAGCAGTCACTTTGACATGTGACAGGCAAAGATACAGTCAGGTCGTCAGCATATTTGACAAAATTAATGTCATTTGAAGATGGTAGGTCGTGTAGAAAGAAAGAAAAGAGAAGTGGGGAGAGTACAGCCCCTTGGCGGACACCAGCTTCAGTGAGCACAGCAGAGGAGGATTTACCTTTGTATACAGTGTACTGCAATCTGTTAGAGAAGTAGGAATGCAACCAGTTAGTGACCCAGGACTCAGTTTGTGTCATAGAGAGCTTATTTAGCAAGAGACATCTAGGTGCAGAGTCAAAAGCAGAAGTGAAGTCAAGAAACGTGCAGCGGACATATTTGGCACCTTTGTCTAATGATGAGACAATACTGTTGTGTAAGACGGCTGCAGCGTCTAAAGTACTCCTACCCTGACTGTAGGCAAATTGTTTTGGGTCTTTAAAACTTTTAAGGGAGGGTTCAAGTTTAAGAAGTACTAGTTTTTCCATGAGCTTTAGAAACGGGGAAGTAATGGCAATGGGTCTGAACTTTACGTTCTTCCTATTTCCAGGTTTAGGGACAGGGACTATTTTAATGTCTTTCCATGGAACAGGTACAACGTTTTCGGAGAAAGAAGCATTTAGGATATTAGTTAGAGGAGAGCATAAAGCATCTGCACATTGTTTTAGAACATAAGCAAGTACACCATCAGGGCCAAGGCTACGTGAGGGCTTAAGAGTTTTGAGACATTTCAAAAGATGAAGAGTATTAAAGTCATGAAAGTTATCAGCTACAAGATTAGTAACGTTAGAAGTGGTTATAGTAGAAGGAGAGCGTATAACAGACAGATTAAGAGCATTAACATCATAAGAGGGAAAAACATTGCATCGCTTACTATTGCCAGTGATTTCATTGAAAAGTTTCCACAAGCTGATAGGAGATTTGCATGATAAAAGTGTATGGTTATACATAGCATTACGATTTTGGTTTCAGATTTGATTAGAGCATTAATCTTTTTAATTGCTAACTTATCTTTGAATTTATATAATGTTTCTTTTTGCCTGCGTAGTTGTTTGAGACGAGGAGACGAGAAGTGGTCGAAGAATATATCAAGGCAAAACTTAAGATAATCCGTTATATTGGCGATTGTGTCATCTAATGTACTTTTATAGAATAAATCCCAGTTGGTATTTTTTAACATGCACCTGAGATTGAGTAAGTTGTCAGATGTGTAGCATCTTTGTTGTGCTTTAATAGACGGGTGTGAGAAGACTTTAATATGCGTTTTGCTGTATATTTGTGGTAAAACAGGAACATGCAGTGATCAGAGTTAAGTATCGGTGCACGTTTACGCGTTTCATATACTCCTTTGTCGTTTGTAAGAACTAAATCGAGTGTTGTGTCAACTCGAGGAGGAAACTTGACTATGTTCGTATGACCAAGTGCTTCAAGGAAAGAGCAGTTAAAAGGTATGTAGTTCACCTTCGGTGATACCAAATCGCTCCTAAGGCTAAAATAAGTGGTACAACTGCCAGCCCATTTCACCAGTGACTAACTTACTTCGAGGAGCTCACTGGTCATGACTTTTCCCCAGAACTGCAGATTACTTCCTGCATAGAACCAGTCACTAATGAGCATCGGATTAGTTTTCAAGTGTTGGTTATAGAGGATTGGGTTCTAGTGGCTAAATCGTCTAAATGCTTGACTTGCAGCTGGGAGATCCTATCTCCACACTCGGTGAGTGTGTACCACTAAAGAGGTCCATATTAGGATGGAAGAGCTGTTCCGTACTTCCTGGTTTCCCAGTGGTTTTGCAAATGGTGTCAGCTCATGATCAAACCTGTAACCAACCAAATCCCTGCAGACGTCTGGGGACGCATAGATAGCAGATAGTGTCTACTAATGTTTATATTGGATGTTGTAAGCGTAATCTCCGAAAACGTGTAGCTGAACACTATCCGGTTTGGTTAATGAAAGGGGAACGTAGAACTGCAAATTCGTCTATTAGTGATCACTTGTTAGAGTCTGGTCATTTAGCCCCACATGATTCATTTTTCAAAGTTATATACATGGCAAAATCGAATCGATCCAAAAGTTTACGTTTTCTTCACTTATGCATAGCCGAAGCTTTACCTATACATGAACAGAAACCTAAATTATGTGTTCAAAAGCGTTTTGTCAAACCCCTTTCTTTACCTTGGTCATAATAATGTTCTTTCTAGTTTTTATTTTATTTTACCACTTGAATTCTTTCCACATCACTTCACATCTTCATTCTTATCGTAATCGTACTCCTAATTTTCAAAATTTTTAGACAACACTTGACATTTTTGTTATAGAACAATCTTTAATATTTTTGTAATTTATCCACTTCAACTCTATCCCTTATAACTTTTATCACATATATACGTACATTGACTGAGCGATTATTTAGTGCCACTTAATCACTTTTTCTCTAATATAAATACGACTGTACAGCTTGAAAATGAAGTCGTTGAAAAGAATTTTCTTCGCTGAACAAAAACTGTGTTTTTACTTATGAATATATGGGTATTTTTTGAGGTCTATGAGAATGATGGATATTCGCAAAATATCGATTCAGTGCAGACTACAATATGAGATCAGCATCACATAGATACTCATTAAAATCACCACAAGGTTATTTGAATAATTTCATTTTAATTTCCTCATTATCTCCTTCAAATATTCAGATATTTTTATGTTGAATGAACTCTCCATATCTTTTCATGAGTAAACATATTTTCTTCTTCCATATTTTTTCACATTTTTACACTGTATGCTTACTTTTGTGAAATTCTTTGATTATCTCTTTATATGTCACTATATCACACTGTTATGTTCACGTTTAAAAGTCGTTTCTGTATTAATTATCATCAGCCAAGTAACAATGATCCACAATACACCTTATCAGTTTCTTTCAGTTTACATTTTACCGTCTTCTAATTATCTGTTCAAGAACATCAAAGAATGTGTTGCATTATAATTGGATTCACGTTGCCAAGAATTTTGTTGAACTTGCGCATTATTTTGTATGTGTATACTGGGTTGAATGGTGTGTCAACATCAGGTTTATAATACTCAGTTGGAATAGGTTCTAATGAGATTGGCTACGGACACCAACTTTCGATAGCTAGCAGAGCTGTTGTATGAGATTATCGCCCTGCCTAACTTTTCTGTCCTGCATCAATCTAGGATTTCTGAGTTTCCTGATTCTTCGTTTCGTAGCTGTAATGACGAATGACATCATTGTGAATCTTATTTAGCACCTTCGTCTTACGATGTCAGCCCTGTTGACTGTTCAATCAGCGAGACTCGATCACATTGTCTCAGCATACACCTGATCCATCCGTCCATCCACTCCATTTTCTTCTTCATGCTTGACACCCAATGGGAGATTAGTTTCTTTTCGTCATCAAACTTCATTTTGCGTTTTATATATTTCCTGGTTGGCCACAGGATCTTCATTGTCAACAGAAGATAGCTGGTGGTAAAGTTATGTGCCTCGCTTCCGGTCGGACTCGGACAACGTCCCTGAATGATATAGCATTACTGACTGGCTTGGCATTAGTGTCGAGAATTGACTCTTCTTCTTCGTGTTGAGTGAGTGCTGGTGATGCATGATTGTCTTGCATTCTCAATGCACTCATTGATAATTAAGACATGAGCATGGGAACAAAAATTAAGAATAATCACGATATACATACAGATGAAATGAAATGTCAGGTTAGTAAGTGTGTTGCACTTATGTGTTTAATGTGATTCAAGTTTCTTCAACGAAACAGAAGGCGAGGAGCAATAGTAGAAAGAAGATATTGAGGTATATTCCAATTTTAAGATTACATAAATCAGTTGGAAACTGTCAGCGCATAAATGAAATATGGGAAACAGAACATTGTGAGTTCTGTTCATCTAGTAAGATGGCAAGCGTATGAAGCATGAGGTCAACTAAATGATCACATTACTTAGTAAAGATGAAAGGTAATCACAGTCGATATTTCATCAAAGATGACTTAGTTAATTAAGGTTTCGAGGAGGAGTTTCAAAGCGGGAGTCTTTCTATAAATTCATTTTGAATGCAGTTTTTCTCCTTTACTCCTGTGCATTCCAAGTGAAGCATAGGGTTTCAAGGCTCGACTTTCAAGTGTCAGTGGCATTGGTTTCACTTTTATGAGGTGAGGTGGCTAGTCTCAAGTTTGATCTCTGATATTTGACAGGCTTACTGTGAGATGAGTGAAGTTCAGGAGTGCATCAGATGAGAATTGAACCAAAGAGCATATGCGCTATCGGTGAGCATTCTATCAATGCACTCTCGACCCACTTTTTATGCACAATGCAAGTTTTAATCGTGTGATGGTGATGGCCTTTGCCAACTTCAAAAGACTTGGTGTTGCTTGTTTGTCCATTAAATTGAAGGAATTGAAGATGTGTCAACCACCTGTGAATAGTATTTCCATTCTACCTATTCCAACTATCTAATATCATCAGATCAGTGTGCACCGTGGTGGTGAGCTCTACCTAGAATGGTGGCCACGTTGCAAACCTGACTAATAGAATTCAGTCTGCACCGAAGTAAAGACTAGACACATCACACTAGTTACTAGTGTCCAGTCAAAATTGCCATTCTTAATTATTGTTCCACATCTTGTTTCTCTAATACACTGAATTGAAATTAAAACTGTAATGTAACTATTAAATTTGATTATTTTGGTAACATGCAGCCTAAAAGACACCAACAGAATACAGAGGCAAGCTGTTTTATCTTAACACAAGATAAATGAGCATGTTAATAAGAATTATATTACCGATAAGCATATCGATTGAGGACTCACCAGTAACTGCAGATGAATATAGGAAAATAAAAAGGAGAGTGATAGCAAATACATCCATGAGCAGCAATAAAACATCTAAGTTTTCTCTAAGATTCGGTAAAACTTCTTGCTTTATGTGATCCCGACGAAAATGAGTTGATGTAGATTCGTTATCTTATGATCGACAAATTGCGTAGTTACCTTGATCGTGACCTTGCATTTGAATCAATATAAATCGGCGAACAAATGCACCTAAGGGCCTTCAAATCGAACAATAACACTCAACGCAATAGTTCAATCTGTTTCACCGGTTTAGTTGTGTAGAAGAAGACGAATACAGTGAAAATAAGACCATCTTATCGCCAGAATAGCCTGCGAACCATCAGGAAAACCTACTTTGAACCGTAAACTAGTGATTGCACACGCATAGAAGAAGCTGTCAAAGCGACATCCAAATAACTACTCAGGAACTCGCGATGTATTCTTCCTGCGAACAAACGTATCATGAACAAACCTCGAACGCAAACAACTGCGTTCACCTTATAAATTCACTCCGAATTCAGGAAGAGTATCTGTTGCACAGGGAGGTTCGTAACAGATCTCACATAAACTGAGGCTTCTCATGTTAACTGAAAGTAGGGCCAATAGGGAGTGGGACTTGCCGTTGAAAAAGCAGTGATGTGACTTTTAAGATAAGATAAGCTTTATTCCGAATCAGTACTTCTGATACAGAATGGAATTCTCAGCATTTTACTACAATATTGCATCCAGTTAGTACATTAACAATAAATATAGTTCTACATAGTTTAAGGTTATCTCAGTCAGTTTTGACAACAACATATTAGCATGTCGGTAGCTAAGCCAAAATTAAAACAGAGTATTTGAAGGTGTTAGAAAAGTAGATACTACTAGCATATTTACTGGCGTAAGCAATAGCAAAATGGTCGAGGTATACAGGAGGGAACAATAGAGAATAATAGGCAGAATAAGGAATTTAACAAATTGTAGGAGTAAGGGTTGGGTTACACCAGAATGTCTTAACTTCTTGATGTAGAAGGTAAGACGGAATATTTTCTTAGAAATCATCAAGATTTGAGACGACCAGGAAAGATCAGAAGATAGAGTGACGCCTAGGTATTTACCTACCGACTTGGTTTCCATTTCAGTGCCATCTATGTTGCACATCTCGTGAGTCCTAACCAGTTTGTTTAGGTCAGATTTGTGCCTAAAGGTGAAATTGACTGTTTGGTATTTGGAG